TTTGTGGCTGGCGTTTTTGTGTTTTTAGAAATAAGTAGATTACTTAAGTTGTCTTTTTTTTTTTAAGATTATTTATTTATTTATTTATTATGTATACAACATTCTGCACACCAGAAGAGGGCACCAGATCTCATAACGGATGGTTGTGAGCCACCATGTGGTTGCTGGGAATTGAACTCAGGACCTCTAGAAGAGCAGCCAGTGCTCTTAACCTCTGAGCCATCTCTCCAGCCCCTACTTAAGTTGTCTTATGTTGATAATTTCTTATATGTTGAGTTACAGAGGCATATGAAACATTTCAGAAAGTTATTCCATTAGTATCAGAACAGAAGTTTTAGTGGCTTATGCAAGATTGTCTGTTCTGAAACCCTCTGAAACCAGAGGATGAATGGTTATACCTGCCACTGGCTCCCTAGTAGGAAGTATTGTGATTTGTCTCTGGGCCACTGGTGTTCCTCAGCTTATGAGTGGAGAGTAGGATTCTGTTATTTCTAACAAACTTCTGCTTTATATTTATAACCTAGGTTTCCTGAGGCTCACTTAAACCATGTGGTCACAAAATGAAGTCAGATGGCTAAGGGTGTGGCTCACTGGAGTGTTCACCTATCAAGAGGGGAGTGCAGAGAGAGAAAGAAAATGGAAGGGAGGGAGAAAATCTCAGTATTGTCATATTTATTAATGCTCTTGACCTTATTGTATGGGAGGACTCCTGTGTTAATTGTGTTCTGTTCGCATAGAAGCTGGAGCATCTAAAGTCAATGCAGCATTTATTCTACTCAGCTGAGCCAACCTGGGGGAGTGGGCAGGGCTGCTCCACCTCCAATATGGCCCCAGGCTTTTCAGGGCTCCTTGTACAGTTGATGGCTTCCTCACACTAGAGTTTCAGCACCTCCTTGCAAGCTGTGATGAGGAATGCACAGTCTCTTGTCTCTTTGTCTCTCCTCCTCTGCATGCCTGTAGCTCTTGGGATGGCCTTATACCTGCTAAGCAAGACTCTACTAGGGGCCTATAATCTTCTCTCTACTTCTCTATTACCATTTGCCTCCTCTCTTGATCTTCCAGTGTGCTTTAAAGAATGTGTTTTAAAGCAGTAGTAGTTTTATGATTTGAGAATTTACAAAATCAGCTCTGTTTTGAATGCTTATGCTTTGACTTCTTATATGTTGATTTTGGTTTTGAGGCAGGGTCTTGCTGTATAGTCAAGGTTGGCCTCATATTCATAGTTCTCCTGCCTTGACCTCCTAAATGCTGTGTTAAAGGTATGTAGCACCATGCTTGGCTCTTAGTGTCTTAGAATTTACCCACCAATAGGGCAGAGCTATATCATGAGAACATGGTAAATGTAAAATACAAATTTTCATTTGCTGGGATTTTTTGAACTGCTTCTTATCCACTATGAAACTTATATTTTCTTTGTAATAGGACACTAGGGCTGGAGCAATGACTCAGCAGTTAAGAGCACTGACTGGTCTTTCAGAGGACACAGACTCAATTCCCAGCACCCACATGGCAGCTCACAACTGTCTATAACTCCAGTTCCAGGGGACCCTACACCCATGGCAAAACACCAGTGCACATAAAATAAAAATAAATAAGTTTTTAAAAAATTAAAAACAAATTAAAAAAATAACAGGAGACTAGAGTTATGGGCAATACCTCTGATTTTTTTAAAAAGGGAGTTGGGGCCAGGTGGTGGTGGTGCATGCCTTTAATCCCAGCTGAGGCAGGTACATCTCTGGGTTTGAGGCCAGCCTGATCTACAGAGTGAGTTCCGGGACAGCTGGGATTACACAGATGTAGGCCAAAGAATAGTTATTTATGAAGCAAGGATTATTGTCTGGGACTTTTCCTTTGAAGCTTTTCTTAATTTTTTTTTTCCAGTCTAAAGTAGCCTAATGTCTTAGCCTTTCATCATTATAGCTGTGTAGTCTTCATCCTGCTCTGTGTTTGCTTATGCATATCCTCATCTTGATATACATTTAAATTATGATATATATATATATAT